AATATAAAAATGCCTACATGTCATAATGGATAGTCATTGCATGTATCAGAATTAGGCTACCTATTTGCTCGCGCACAAGCAGCTCCGTTTCATCTGTGGAGACGCAATCTGTCTTTGCACTTGCAAATTCCGCCGTGTAAATAGCAAATCTGCCATGGCACAAGTGCAACTGGCTCTTAAAGGGAATGGGAGATGAGACTCTGATTGGTTTATTGCACGTTATGCCCAAAACACACCCATTACTCATTAAGCAAATAGGGACAACTCTTTTAGACCATGCGCCGGGCACGCCAACCGTTTTCCCCATTGTTAAACTAGCAAAAGTGGATTTGGACACGCCCTAAGTGCACCTGCGCCGTGCGCTTTAGACCATGCACTTAGATCGTTAAAATAGGGCCCTTGAGCTCTCTTGTTTAATACAAAAGAAGCTGCTGCCATTTTGCGACGATTGTTTTGTACACTGTAATGGATTGTAAGATAAACTGCTAAGATTTTAAACATTTCATCTTAAATCAATATCTTTTATTGTCATAATTATCCATGTGGTGAAATGCTGTGTAATAAGTAGTATGACTGTACCATATTTCTTAATGTCCATCTAGTTTGAACTTGCCACTTGCTAGCAACTGCTTTCTTCACGGAAGCTTTTGTTTCAAATATTTCAACTCAAATCAATATGTCGTGTCTAATTATTTATTCTGCGATAACAACTGACTGGATGTACATTATCCCTTATTTAAAGAGCATCATTGCAAACTCTGGTACAATTGCTATGTTAGTGCAATTCATTTGAGCAGTGCCATTGTTGGGCACCAAACATGCAGAGAACCACCTTTTCAGTTCACTTTCGAACAAACTCTGGTGCAGTTTGAGCGAAATACAAATGGAACACAAACCAAAGACATCTAAACAAACCAAATATAGGACCAAGGTTATTTTCGTAAACGAAAACTAAAACTAAGACTAAAACGATTGATGAAAAAACAATTTCGTAAACTGAAATAAAATAAAAACGTCAAAATATTTGAAAAACTAAAACGAAACTAAACTAACAACAGTTATTGAAAAACTAACTGAAATAAAATAATAATTATCAAAAAGAAATAGACCTAATCGTTTTCGTAATCATTACGTTCTCACCCCTTGGCGGAAAAATATACAGCTGTGTGGAGGTTTAGGGAAATAGCCTACCTGTAATGGCGCATCACGCACATGGGGTTACCTGACGGAGAGACGCAAAGCAGTTTAAAGCCTACACGGGTCCTGTTTGGTAAACGCGCACCAGCAGTACTTAACAGAACACCCGACCCATTATCTGACAGCAGCACTAATTTAATTCTGTACCAGACGAGAACCGTTTGACATAAAGACCGCGAGTCGTCACCCGAACCGCACTCACATTAAATCTATTACATCAGGTTGGCAAGATTATTTATTTTATCATGTAACACAAGCAATCAAACCAACAAACAAAAATATGAATGAAACTAATAAAAACTCAACTGAATTTTATAGCAAATTTGAAAACGATATTAAAATAAAACTCATTTAAAATTTCAAAACTATAATAACCTTGTATAGGACATGATGTCCCAAGATGCAATCCTAAAAAGGACAAAATGCCCAAGCAGACCTGGTTCTTCTTCATAGGAGCTGCCCATTACAGCACGATACACTGACACAGTCAAAATGCACCATCTGACAAGTGCTAATTAAACATCACTGTTTCAGTCTACGATTTCGGCCCTGCAAACTATTTCATCTGAAACCAAAAAAATACATTTGGGCAACTCTGCATTCAGGCTGAGTAATATACAATGCGTCACTAGCAATACAGAAAAGAAACATTTTGAGAGTACATGAAAACACACCCACATACACTCGCAACCCGCAGTGGCAGTGGGCAAAATATGATGTCCGGATTTCAGCCCACTCCTCCACTCATGGAGGTGGGCAGCAAAAAACAGATGGTCCCAAAGTGGAGCTCCATCAAACACACACACACTTCTACATGGAACTGAGTGAAAGATCAGACAGATGGAGAGGAACACAGCCCCCTCTTCCCCTTCATGAGCCTGACACTGTACAGAAAAAGACACAAAAGGCCAAGAGAGAATTGCTCCAAGATCACTCTTCTACTTTATTAACATGATTCTAATGATAATGAGCTATTCAACAGCCGCTAATGGCAATGAGGTCTTTAAATATCCTCACTGCACACATAAAAAGACATCGCAACACAACTCGCTCCAGCATTTCAGCCTCTTTGAGCCACTGTTTAGATTCCTTAGCAAATTCAGCATTATTAGTATGATTTAAATGATTAGCAACATTATTTGCAAGTCACAATACTCTTGCTAATAATTTTAAAATCCCATTTTAAGCACAATTTTAAAGCAACCCCTTAAAGCAGTTCCCTCTGAATCACATACAATTCTGAACTGTAAGGAATCCACATGGCCAGTCAGTGGGATGTGTCTTAAGCAGTATCCCCATCAATCAGCAGATCAGAGGAGCATATGGGCCCAGTTGTTGGCCCGAGCAGAGTAACAGACTAAAGCCACACTGGGAGACTATTAAACATGCCTGAAACGTTTTAGCTGATATCTTGGATCTGTAAAATGAAGTAGTCTGGAATGGAGCCAAAAGTGTTTTGGTAAACTGACTGGTAGTAACACAAGATAACTATTTTTGTCAACCAAGGTTCAAGAGCGGATAAACTGTCAGGAAAGAGAGTGCAAAAATAGGACCTTTAGGAACAGCTTGTCACTAAAGCACCAGTTCTCAACTGGGAGCCTTA